GGTGGATGGATGGGTGGATGGGTGGATGGATGGGTAGGTGGCTGGATGGGAAGGTGGCTGGATGGGTGGATGGATGGATGGATGGATGGGTGGATGGATGGGTGGATGGTTGAATGGATGGGTGGATGGGTGGATGGGTGGATGGATGGGTAGGTGGATGGATGGATGGGTGGATGGGTGGATGGATGGGTAGGTGGATGGATGGATGGGTGGATGGGTGGATGGGTGGATGGGTGGATGGGTGGATGGGTGGATGGATGGATGGGTGGATGGGTGGATGGATGGATGGGTGGATGGGTGGATGGATGGATGATAATTCCAATGGCTATCAAATTTTATTCCAAGCAAAATCCTTCTCAACTTTTTTCCTTTACCTTGGCTTTGGTACTTTGTCTTCAGGGACTGCTGTCCAAACAGAATCTGGAGTTTTCTGTTCTTTAAATCTTCCTTTGAATACTTTCTCAATGTCATCCATGCTAAATGCACAGACTGCAGAACCAGGAATGCTGCAAAAGAAGAACACCCATCAGGAAGTGTCAGGGGACAATGGGCCTGAGCTCAGAGCAGCTTTTGAGGCCCTGGGGAATTGTTCTCACCTGTTGAGCTGTGTGGTAAACACCCCGACCACAGTGGGGATCCCGTTGATTTGTATGATGTCTGTGATAGACTGCAGAACATCAAAGTAGAAGAACGACTCTCCAGGGACAGAACAGTTAAGCCGAGCCTTCAGAAACGAGGTCCAGTGTTTGTCTAGAACCCGCTGGGATCCACCCATGTCATTTTTACATATGCGGGCCACGCGGGAGTAGACGGCCTGCCCAGGGACAAAAGCGAAGCAATGGGGTTATGAGCACAGGAGAGGAATGGAAACAAAAGGCAGCTATTTATCAGAGGGACCAAAAAAAATGCTAAAGGTATCTGGCACAAAAGAACCTAGCAGCCTTCCCCTTAGGGGTCTGTACAGTAAGAATGTAAACTACATTTGCCTTCGAGGGAAAAAAAGAGCCATCTCTTGTTCTGCCACACACTCCCCAAGACATGAGCTATCTATCCACAGTGCTGACCAAGAGCTGGCCCCTCACTTGGTCTCTGACTCTGCCCCTCACATTGTAAAGGAAACGCGCTGGCTGCGCCCTGGGTGCAAAGCGTTTGCAAGGCCTTGAGATCACTGAATACTATAACTAGGGCAGGAGCCTGTCCTTTTCAACTGCCTTTTGACAATGCAAAAGATCAGGCTATCAACAGATTTCTAAAGAGAAAAAGATGCCTCCTAGCTTAAGGGTGCCTGTAGAATACACTCTATGTGACAGAAAAAAAAAGAGAGAGAGAGAGAGAGAGAGAGAGAGAGAGAGAGAGAGAGAGAGAGAGTGGGGCCAGGGAGATGGCTTGGTGGAATATGCACTTCCCTGGCAAGTGCAAGGGTCTGAGTTCAATCCCTGGTTCTGCAAAAAAAAAAAAAAAAAAAAAAAAAAAAAAAAAA